GTTGTCGACATGACCTTGTGTGATTGAGACTGCAAAATCCCAGATTTTGTATTTGTACAGCATCTTGTTTGCACTGATTGGTGGGCCTGATGGATAGAGCTTCATCAGAGCTAAACAACAAAAGAAATCTGAAGCTTTTATGTTGAACATTTTCTGAGTTATAAGCATTTTTGCATGTCCTGACACCCCCTCTTTGAAAGGAGCCCCCTCCTCAAATATGGGGTCTATCATAAAACCGCTGGCTGGCACAGTGTAGGTCAGACTCATCTACAGTCCTGCCAAATTTCATGTTGATTGGTGCAGCCGTTTTTGTGACCAAAAGTCACTGAAAAAAAAAACAGTATGAAAACAATACGCATTGCATGCGGAGGTCATAATTAGGTAATTGCTGAATAATAATTAGTGTACCCAAAACTACATGAGGGGAACCCACCATTACTGTTACTCCCAAATAAATCAGGTCATATTTGTTGTGTTTATTGTATTTATCCTTCTTACAGACCTTCCCCTGCTAGAACATTCATTAAAAAGAGTGACCCCAAACAAGAAGCTCTGGCCAAACTGAAAAACAAAGGACCATTACCACAGGTCAGAGACATGTTGACTGCAATAACACACTGCTTTTCAAGCTTTTTTTCCAGGTTCTGAGTTTTATTTTTCTGTTCTGTGGCATGTAGAGACTGCCTCCTCCCCCGAAAGCCCCCCCACCACCTGCTAACCCCTCAGCCAGCGGCCCCAGGGTCATTTCTAACAGTATGAGGCAGAAGCAGCGCCCCTTGGAGGAATTATTTGGCTCTCAGCGCTCCCGGCAGCCTTCTCCTGCTCCACGTGACTCCCCACCACCTCCTCCAGTTCCTAGCCTTCAGAACATCCCTGATCCACCACCTGTAGCTGCCCCATCCCTGAGTAAGTGACCTTCTTCTCATTTATAAGTATTTAAATATGATAAATGGTGCAGATGAAAATAAATTTGGCAAATTTGTTAATCGCTGTACATCTTATTTAAAAGCAAATGTTTAATGCAGGTCGTCCAAACTCATTACTTCCATTTAAAAATAGTCTAATTTTAGCCTTTGGGCTCAAGAAGTTGGTTGCAGTCATTGTAAATCTTAAGGGTTTTATTTTTATGTTTAACAGAATACTGAATGAAAAAAAACATTTTAACAAGATCTTTAATTAACCACGTTTAATGTTTTTTTCTTCTGTTTTATAGAAAAAAACAACCCAAATCATCACCAACTTTTACCAAAACGTAGACTTTCATAAAGCGTAACCATTCTTAAAACTAAGAGAAAAGCGAGGATTTTATTACAGAGAATATAGTGAGCATAATTTTCACACAATCTGGTTATCTTTAGAGTAAAAAAAATAAATAAATGTATAAGCATTTTTTATTTTAAAAATAAATAAATTCATAGGCCTTTGTGTACGTCCAGCTTAACAATTTTGGCCCGTGTGTCAAACTGTTTGGACACTACTGGTCTAATGGGAATCTGCAAGCCTAAAGGCTTGTCATAGAGTAAACAAGAAAAAAAAAGTATGAATACCAGTTTATTTTACAAAAAATGTACAAAGATTTCTGATTCATTCAAAGAGACTACTAATGATTTTTAGTATAGTAATTTTTTTAACTGGCATTCAGTCTGTTTCAAAGTTAAACAATCAACCACTGGGTAGTTTGTTATGATTGTGTTCACTTTGAATGTGGAGCAGGGAAAGTAATAAAGGCTACAAAACTATCTCCAAACAGCTTCATGCCCCTCTGACCACAGCTGACAAAATTATGAAAGTAAAAGGTTCATAAAACTGTGGCCTACCTCCCAAAATGTAAACGCAAGGGGAAATGCAAACCCCATGTTGACCATACTGATAATGTAGATGGTAGAAAGAGAGCCAAAGAAACTATGCACAACCATTCAAGATGAACTCCAAGGTGAAGGTACTCCCCACCTGTAGCAATTAGATAACAGTGATATACATTGAAAATGCTCAAAAGGCTCAATTACTTACAGAAAAACACCAAAATGAAAGACAGGAATTAATCAAAATGCATGTTGACATGAACCAAAGTTTCTGGGAGACAATTCTAGGACTGATGAGACAAAACTTTTTTTGCCAGTTGTGTGTTTTTTTTTTTTTTTTTTTTTGGATTATTGTTGGAAGCAACCAACAAATTTATGCACATCTGTAAACCATCTGTTCTCTGATTTGAGGGTTCAGAACACTCACTGGGCTGTTTTACTCTTAAACTGTAGATATGATGGCAGATGATGATGGGATTCGGTCCCAGCTCCACCGTTTCTCTGCTGGAGTTTACTTCTCTTACTACAACATGCCAGGAAAACTATTTCTGCGAAAAGAGGTGAGACCTTCCTGCACTTGAGATATATATCAGCAAACTTTAATATAATTTAAACAAATCTCGACAATCAAAAATAAAAAATAAGTAGGTCCTCTGGATGGGTACTTCTTCAATGAAACGTTTCGTCTCTCCTCCAAGAGACTTCTTCAGTCTGATGAATTTCAGGTGAACTCTGCCTTATAAGCACTGCCTCCACATGGTGGACAAACAGGTTGGTCACATGCAAAAGAGGACCATCAGCCTAACGATAGGTCGTTAGTGCCTTGATTGGCTCTATTATTCATAGAGGGTCATGTGCCGCATCACCTGACTATCATTGGGGCCCTGATTAACACCTTTTGCTCACAGGGGGCGGAGCCATACTTGCAATAACAGCGTTGTAGGAGGAGGACAACTGGACACGGAGGCCTCCACCTCTGTTTAATGATGGACGGTTTTTCTTCACAAAGATGGCTTCCTTTACTCCTCTCAAACCAACGTTCCTCTATCAAGGATGAGAACATCTTCATCCCTGAAAGAGTGACCGCTGACCTGTAGATGAGTGTAAACTGTAGAGTCCTGGCCTGTTGATGAGTGTAGACTGTAGAGTCCTTTCTTGTAGATGAGTGTAAACTGCAGAGTCCTGGCCTGTAGATGAGTGTAGACTGTAGAGTCCTTTCTTGTAGATGAGTGTAAACTGCAGAGTCCTGGCCTGTA